CAACATGTCAACCACTGTTTCCCTAGTTGCATTAGATTTTGCTCTAAAATTAGTTGAGAAAATTTGCACAATTTTGAATTCTCATCTGACTTTAGTCTTATAATACTAGCTGTATGCAAATTCTACTGTCGGTCACAAAAACGATATACTTACCTACTTTTAACAGGGAAATTGGACTATACTCACTTTGACATCCCTCCTGGGAGGTTAAAGGTGAGAGTGGCTGAATACTAAAATATTTACATGACATCCCTCCCCTTTTTGCTGGAACTGACATTTTTACAGTCATCCCTTGTTTCCATATATTTCAAGATAAAAGGAATAAGGTCCACCTTTTTCCCGTTGAGTCTTCTTAAAACTTTGCCTGAAGTTTTCATGCTTTAGTGCCTCCTGACCTCTTAGGGCTACACAGAAAGGATACCAGTGGTTTTCCATTTTGGAGCTGGAATAGTTGGAGGGTAACAGAGTTAGAAATACTTACATTGGACTTTGTTATTATTGAAATCATGTGATTTTAAAGATATAAAATTCAAGGATTGTCATTAAATTACTATCACAGTATTTGCTGTTATTAGGACTTCCTTCTTCCTATAACTGCATGTCATTGGGGTATAATCTCATCTAGCCGAAAGAGTCAAGTTACATTATAAAAAGATAATCCCTGTTTTTAACAAAGAGGGATTATGTAAAGCTGTGTATGAGAAGTTTGTATTTTATCTGCAATAGACAGTGGTTAGCTGATAAAACCTGCTACTTAAACGTACTTCATGGTTCCCCTTTCCGTGCAGGCAGCCTATCTACCTAAGTTTTATTTATTATTATATATTTTATCTTGTGTTAACTGACTTGAAAGCAACATTGGTTATTGTTTTGATCTGCTTGAACAAAATTATTGATTTTCTCACATTGTTTCCATTTAGATAACTCTTAGATAAAGTATTAGATAACATCTTGCTCTGTTACGTGGATGTTCTGTGTTAAGTTCAGTCACTGTGGTTCAAATTAAAAGTCATGTGATGATGTGTTTAATGCAGGTGTTCTCTCTGTAACAGTAATCTGGTTTTATTGGAGTAATCTGGACTCTTGTCTGACATGTCCCCTAACCTGTCCCCACCTGTCTGCATGGAAGCAGGTCTCTCCTTGCTTCAACACTTTAGCATTGAAGCAAGGAGAGACTTGAGGAGAGTTATGCCTCTCGTGATATGAAGATCTTATCAGGTGATTAGCAAATCCTGTGTGGTCATTACTCAGAGTCTGCATAACTGCAGAGTAGCTGTTTGTTTTGACTGTCCCTACTGAAACTAGGCCACACGGTAGTCTGCTGTCTTTGTTTATATGACAAGGTGTTAGTTAGGGATAAAGAGTTGGCATTATAAAGCCATAACATATACTGTAACTGCTTTTAGTATATAAATATTTACGAAACAAACTTTGGAGTCTTGATAAAATTTTTTAAAAGAAATAAAAATGTTTGTCTGCAATGTTCTGATTTCCTATCAATTAAACAGCTAGTTTTATTTACGTTTTGCATTCTCTATGTAGACTGACTAGACTCACGCTCTGGGTGGAGACTGATAAAAAGGCTTAGTCATAGTGATAGAAGTATATAATACCATCATGTACCATCATATAATAACAGAGTTTTATAACTTAATGATGTTACAAATTTCAGAAGGATCTCATGATAGACTTAAGGCTTGGAAAGAAGATTTATCGATTGTGTTAATAGAGGAAGATTGGCAGACAGCATGTAAATTGGCCCACACCAGCTCTATTAACACATCTCTATAAATGATTCAATATAAATGGCTAATGCGAATTTACATAACACCAGTAGACCTCAATAGGTATAACGGGGAGATACCTGATATACGTCCAAAATGCACAGGGGATAGAGGGACTCTGGCTCATTGTATGTGGCATTGCAGAGAAATTATACAGTTTTAGAAAGAAGTACAAGGTGCTATAGAAAACATAATTTCTAAACAAATAATTTTTGAGCCAAGGTTGTTTGTGTTTGGATTATTCCCTGAAAAACACATTTACACAAAAAATGAACCAGTGTTTATAAACTTAAGTTTGATTATTGCAAAGAAATGTATATTTATATTTTGGAAAAAGACTCACAGACCGAGCATAAACCAATGGCTGCAGCAGATGTTATCTGTCCTCCCTCTGGAAAAAAATCATGTATTTATTAAAGGACAAACAGGACCTGTTTGAATCTATTTGGAACTCCTTCATTAATTATGTTAAGACTCTGAATATCTAAAAAAAAAAAAAAAGTGCAAGTGATGGAAGAACAAGTGAACCGCAGTTCCCAAAGACGATATACATTCTGTATATCGTCGAGGATGTTTGTTTAAATTGCTAAAATTTGAATAAATATATTTTGGGAAAAAAAATAATAATACCATCATGTGTGTTATAACTTGTTTGTGAACTGCATATCTATCTATCTATCTATCTACAGGTGCTGGTCATAAAATTAGAATATCATGAAAAAGTAGATTGATTTCAGTAATTCCATTTAAAAAGTGAAACTTGTATATTATATTCATACATTACATACAAACTCATATATTTCAGATGTTTATTTTGTTTAATTTTGATGATTACAAATGACAACAAATGAAAATCTCAAATTCATCATACCAGAAAATTAGAATATTACTGAAGACCAATAAAAACAAAGGATTTATAGAAATGTTGGCCAACTGAAAAGTATGAACATGAAAAGTATGAGCATGTACAGCACTCAGTATTACTGCAGCAATGCGGCGTGGCATGGAGTCGATCAGTCTGTGGCACTGCTCAGGTGTTATGATAGCCCAGGTTGCTCTAATAGTGGCTTTTAGCTCTTCTGAATTGTTGGGTCTGGTGTATTGCATCTTCTTCTTCACAATACCCCATAGATTTTCTATGGGGTTAAGGTCAGGAGAGTTTGCTGGCCAATTAAGAACAGGGATACCATGGTCCTTCAACCAGGTACTGGTAGCTTTGGCACTGTGTGCAGGTGCCAAGTCCTGTTGGAAAATGAAATCTGCATCTCCAAAAAGTTGGTCAGCTGCAGGAAGCATGAAGTGCTCTAAAACTTCCTGGTATGTGGCTGCGTTGACCCTGGACCTCAGAAAACACAATGGACCAACACCAGCAGATGACATGGCACCCCAAACCATCACTGACTGTGGAAACTTTACACTGGACTTCAAGCAACGTGGATGAAGTGCCTCTCTTCTTTTCCTCCAGACTCTGGGACCTTGATTTCCAAAGGAAATGCAAAATTTACTTTCATCAGAGAACATGACTTTGGACCACTCACCAGCAGTCCAGTCCTGTTTCTCTTTAGCCCAGGCAAGACGCTTCTGACGCTGTCTGTGGTTCAAGAGTGGCTTGACACAAGGAATGCGACAGCAGAAACCCATGTCTTTCATACGTCTGTGTGTGGTGGTTCTTGAAGCACTCACTCCAGCTGCAGTCCACTCTTTGTGAATCTCCCCCACATTTTTGAATGGGTTTTGTTTCACAATCCTCTCCAGGGTGCGGTTATCTCTCTTGCTTGTACACTTTTTTCGACCACATCTTTTCCTTCCCTTCGCCTCTCTATTAATGTGCTTGGACACTGAGCTCTGTGAACAGCCAGCCTCTTTAGCGATGACCTTTTGTGTCTTGCCCTCCTTGTGCAAGGTGTCGATGGTCGTCTTTTGGACAACTGTCAAGTCAGCAGTCTTCCCCATGATTGTGTAGCCTATAGAACTAGACTGAAAGACCATTTAAAGGCTTTTGCAGGTGGTTTGAGTTAATTAGCTGATTAGAGTGTGGCACCAGGGGCCATCAATTTTGAACCTTTTCACAATATTCTAATTTTCTGATATGATGAATTTGAGATTTTCATTTGTTGTCATTTGTAATCATCAAAATTAAACAAAATAAACATGTGAAATATATGAGTTTGTATGTAATGTATGAATATAATATACAAGTTTCACTTTTTAAATGGAATTACTGAAATCAATCTACTTTTTCATGATATTCTAATTTTATGACCAGCACCTGTATCTATCTATCTATCTATCTATCTATCTATCTATCTATCTATCTATCTATCTATCTATCTATCTATCTATCTATCTATCTATCTATCTATCTATCTATCTATCTATCTATCTATCTATCTATCTATCTATCTATCTATCTATCTATCTATCTATCTATCTATCTATCTATCTATCTATCTATCTATCTATCTATCTATCTATCTATCTATCTAGTAGAATAGAACAGAATAGAATAGAAAATCCCTTTATTGTCCCACAATGTGTGAAATTCTGATGTTTACAGCAGCAAAAAGATTATAGGAAATAATGGTCACACAAATGTGGACCTTAGAAAAAGAATAACATAATAATGAAGAGTTAAAACATAAACAATAAATTAGTGTACTGTAAAGGGCTTTAACAATATATTTATGACATGGGATTATAAATTTTTTTTCCATCTGTAGGAATTGTATTTAGCTTGTTTTAAATATTATGGTTATTGAATACAGAGCTTTGATGTCTGCAGTCTTTTTTGGTATATCTGTGCTGATGGCTTTATTTACTAATAAGAAATAATAAATTAATCATGTCTTTTACCCTACCGAATATTATACAGTCATCCATTGGATACAGGTTATTATTTTTATTCTTAAAATACGTTTTAAAGCCAGGGTCTGGACAGAGTTTGGATGAAGTAATCCTTTTCCTGAGTTTGCACACCTGTAACAGTTTGGGCGGCACCTTTTATCTAAAATAAATGATCAAATCAACTTTAGAGTCGGACCGCTCCCGCCCTCTGGTGGCCAGTATATATCATTACAGTTAGTTGAAACCAAATATATATATATCTATATTTTCCATTTTAAGAAAATATTTGTTTTCTACCATTTTTAGATTAATGTCAAAGAGGCCAACTTTTGGGGCGTTCTTCGTGATAACTGCTTTTGGCGTCAAAGAAAAGAACACTGTCCCTTTAAATCCGCCAAACGGGTCTTTATTTGGCAGGAAGTTAGCTTAGCTAGCAGCAAACCAATAATGAGGACACTCTGAGGAGCAGTTAGCTGCTTCTTGCGCCCTTTGAAAAGGTAACATGAATACACTTTAACTCATAACGACATAAACGCGAACTCTCTGGAATTTTGTTGCTCTCAGACCGATCCGTGGTGTTTATTTCAGGTTTGGCGGTTTGAAACCAGTCAGACATGGCTGATGGTGGCTGAATGACATGCATCAGGCAGCACTTCAACAAATCTAACAGAATACTGTTAGTAAATATTAACAGTAAAGGCTTGGTTTAATGAGGCCCAGTCTTTGTGAGGCTTAGTTGTTGTTGTGTTGCGAATCTCTAAGACGCTTAGAAGCTTTGGCAGCGCATGAAGGATTTATTCATGTGGATTGTGATGCTACACCTGGATGAAATCTAGCTCTCTTTCTATCTACCATCTATCCACACTCTCCTGATGCCTTCAGAAAAAAAATCTAGCTTCAATTACTCTGAGTTTTTTACTTCATCAGCCTTTGAAATAGTTACATACACTTTATTTTCTAATGTTTCTTGCTCTCATCAGGGTTTGCTGACATTATTTTTCTCCATTTCAGTAAATTTGATGTCTGAACTTTGACTGGGCCTTTGCTACACATTGATTATTTATTTTAGTCTCCATGCTGTTGTAGATGTGTTGCTGTGGTGGGGGACAGTTGGCCACATTTTACCATTATACTTTATTTTGCATGTTCATGGTTTAAAAAACAAACAAAAAGACTAAACAAAACAATTCCACATCATCCCCTCCATCCTTCACAGCTTGTTTGGGTTTGAAAGAAACTTTTGCATCTCAGTGATCATTGCTGATCTCTTTTTTTCTTCCTGGGATCTTGTTGACTTGAAACTTAAGCTTTTAAATATGCTGTTTTAGTAGTGAGCAGCACTTATATTTCTAATATTGAGTTATAATGAATGTATTAAGGCGACTTAAAGTTTTTTATGAAATTAAAATTTTTTTTTTACACATTTGTCTTCTCTGAAGCCTCTTTGCCTAAATAATAAGCAATATCAGGACAACTGCAGACTCTTTAAGGGATTGCTGTTTGTTTTATTGGACCACATTTCAGGCTTTGGCTCTGAGGATTGTCACATCCTCATTAGTGGGTTTCATTATCTGTCAGGATCTCTATTGTTTCTGTTTTGTGTTAAATGCATTTTCACTCTATAAATAAATCAAACTGTAAAATACAACATTGTTTTGATGCATAAATGAGAGCTGTCTTAAACCATTACAGTTATGAGATCAGTAACCCATCATTTTCTTGGAGGTAAAAAAGGCAGAATAGATAAAAATCAGAACTATCGGGTCAGAGCTTAAAGGTGAATAGAAATAATCTGACAGAAAAAAACCTGATCTCTTTATAGAGCGTCATAAAACCCTCCATGATTTGTTCATCATCAAGTTTTGTTTGTGCTGTTTTATTCTAGTATGATTACAGGTTTGGGGACAGAACAGTTTACAATAAATGGTAACTGTTGGAAAGAACTGTTAAAAAAACTTATTTTCTTTTTTGCACAGGAGAACCATATTTTTAACCTGTAATTGAAGACAAGTTCAAATCAGCTATGGTAAGTAAGGAGCAGAAAGTAGCAGTATTGATGCTAACCTGCAGTTTTTAGAGAATCCAAGTTCTCCTGTGAACACGGATATGATGCGTCATCATTTCTCCCTTCAGACTATTTTTAAGTAGACTGAAGTTTTATCCTAATACCTCATCTGGAGGAGACTACCCTCCTCATTCTTGTGCTTGTCTCCCTTTCTGCATCTCAGTCTACGGCGGTGGATCTTAAAACCAAGGAGGAGAAAGATGCAGAATTGGACAAACGAATCGAAGCTCTGAGAAAGAAGAATGAAGCTCTGGTTAAGAGGCACCAGGTATGGGAGTCTGATTTAATGTGATTTTACCCTATGCAGGGTCCATTTATAGGCTTTAAAAGAATTTTCCAAATGAAGTTTTAAATAATATTAGTGGTGGGCAGTTATTGGCATTAATGGCACACTCTTATTGGGCGATTTAAAAAAATTATCGCCGTTAATCTATTCTCACAGTTGGGAGCTGAGTCTATACTAATGAGGACTTTTACCTGGATATTTTAGCACAGATGTATATCTGGGGGCGAGAGCGAATCAGTCTTCTAACCTGTGTAGGCGTACTGTAAAATTACTACAATGAACGTGGCGTGCTGACATGGATGCAGCTACAAGCGCAGCTCTATCAGCCAAGCTGACCAATCTCCTCGCTCAGTGGATAGCCACAAGCTGCCAGCGTTCCCAAGGCGGCCGCAGGTGACCCATTTTACCGACTACCTGCAAAGCGAACTATCATGAGGAGAAAACATGTGGAGAAAGCTGCCAAAGATGAGAAGTTGATCGAGACGACGTGTGTCAATTTTTTGAAGACACTATATAGTTAAAGTGGGACAACTATAATTGGAAGTGGGTCACTCTATTTTTTGCAACAGAAGCACATTAAAAAATGTGCAAAAAAGATGTTTATAACTTTGTAAGAAGATGAAATTAAATGTGATTTTGCAAACATAAAAAAATAAACAGTTTCTTTTAAATTCTGTAGTTAGCAACACATATCATGAATGCCTTTGGCCGTATTCAAATGAGCGATTTTAATCTAGATTATTCCAAAATTACAGTGGGATTAATCTAGATTAAAAAAATTTATCTATGCCCACTGCAAAATAATATACAGCTTCCTCTGCTAAGGTTATATGTCGAAGCATTTAAAATAAAGGCTCTCTTTTTACATTATCTGCTGCTAATTAATTAACGGTATATATATATATATATATATATATATATATATATATATACCATTATGTATGTATGTATATATATATATATATACATATATATATACCATTATGTATGTATATTCTGAGTAGGCATAGAATTAAAACGCAGGATTTACATAAGGGTGCTTAAAAAATCTAATTAATCAGACTGTTATTGACCTTGTGCAAAAAATATTATTTTGTAAGTTTGTTTAAAAAAAAAAAAGGTCCTTAATCATCCTTAATATGACTCACTAAAACCTGCAGAAAGTTTGTCTCTGTCTGCCTTAATATGCTGCAGTCCGTGAAATTAGGAAGAGGTTTATTTGATCTTCTTTTAGGGGGGGTTACATTAATATGGTCCGGCTTATTCGTTGTCTCTGTTCCAACAGGAAATCGAGGAAGACAAGAAGAAGGCAGAGCAGGAAGGTATCGCCGTGACGACGCCCCGGAGACCCCGAACTCATGAGCCAGAGACGGACAGGCTGCGGGCGGAGAAGGAAAACTTTACAGTCACTGTGGATCTTTCCAAGCCGTCAGCGGTGAGATGCAGTTTTACATCTTTCAGAGAGACGTTAGGCGCTAAGTGCATCCAAACATGCAGGTTCCCATCTTGGAACTTATCTAACTACTGAAAATCAACTCATGTTGATTTTCACTCACTCACTGTCCATAGCGTTCCTTGACAGTGTCGTTTCTAAGTCACCAATTAAGTGCTACTTGGTCCCAATGGAATTTCCCATTGGGAACCTACTAGCACTAAGTTGCTAACTGGTTAGCAAGATGCTTCCCACAAACCGGCCACACCCAAACTTGCTTGCGAACTTTCCGCACAACAACTCTCGTAAAGTCACGTATCACTCTGGAGAACTCGGAAATGAAACGGTTGGAACAGCCGCTTCCCTACGACTCTAAAGTCTAACCCGAAACCCTTCTTTTCTTCACGTGTTTTTTGTTGAAATGCTCTTCTCAGTGACTCCTTATTTGAGGATCCCGTCCTAAATTTTTGGAAACCGATAATCAGCAACAGTTGTTAGCGTCATGCTAGTGACTAAACGGAACTTTTGCATATTATAATTTTTCTAGTTTCAAAGTTTGGCTGCTCAGTGGCGCAGTGGGTAGCACTGCTGCCTTGCAGCAAGTGGGTTCTGGGTTTGATTCCCGGCCCAAGGTCTTCCTGCATGGATTTTGCATATTCTTCCTGAGCATGCGTGGGTTCTCTCCGCGTACTCCGACTTCCTCCCACTGCATGTCCTGTATTGCCCTGCGATGGACTGGCAACCTGTTCAGGGTGTACCCCACCTCTCGTCCATTGACAGCTGGAGATAGGCACCAGCACCCCTCGCGACCCCAATTGGAACAAGCGTTTCAGATAATGGATGGATGGATAGTTTCATCGACGGTGGGCGGTGGTAGCGCTGTCTGACTTCATTCAAATGACCCTATTTCAGCCCACCTCCATCCCCTCCTCCACCATTGTAGCTAAAACGTCATCAGCGTGTCATTACTCCAGGACTCTAATTGCATTCCACATCTCATTTCAACCGGTCTGGTAGAAGACCTCCACGTTGAGCCTGGTTCTGCCAGAGGTTTGTTCCCAATGGGGAGTTTTTCCTCTCCACTGTCGCTCCATGCTTGCTTATTAATGTGCAGGTTTTTGCAACCTGTGTTATCCAAACTGGACTTCCATCTTCCAGGTCTCTGAGTGAAGCTCTAGTATCAGCTCAGGCAATCTACTGGATCTCCCCATAAAGCTCAGCATACCGACTCGCTAACCAGCAGTCTACAGACTGACCAACTTCATCTATCTCCACTCAATCATCAGTTTCAGGCCATGTTCTTTACTCCTGTTCATACATATCAATCAAAAATCAGCGCTATGTTTCCCTCCGAGGTCTGAGCGCCAAAGACTAAAGTAATTGTATCAATACATTTCTTCATAATAATTGTCTTTTCTCTCCGGCTGAGTTTTTCAGATTGAAATAACTTTATTAAATTGTGAAAATTAAAGTTGGATCAGATCAAACCACTAAATCCAATCGGCTGACAGACATAACAAAACACCTGTTGGTTCAGGTCCCTCCTGTGGAGTCATGTGGTTAAAAGAAACTAGGTTAAAAAGCTGAACCATCTTCTTACTGATCCTAACTTATTCTTGGAAATCCACTTTAGCTCCTGCTGAGTTTTTGCCCCCCTTCCTGTTTATGGCCTTTATCATATTAGATTCATCTGAGCTGGGTGTGTGAGTTCTGCAGTGATTGGATGAAACAGGAAATCTGGCTGGGATGGAGTTCATCATAACTAGGCCTACATTTTCTAAATGTTACCAGATGAGAGTTTATCTCCTTTCTGTGGAGTTAGTTCAGGCTTTGCTCCAGCTCTCTTTATGCTGCATAAAGATTTAATTTGGGAAACTCTGATTGGACTAAGATGAAGGGATTAGACTTTCTCCACCAGGGGTCTTTACAAAACCGAGACATTTCTGTCTCATGAGTCATGAATCCATCGAGATGCTTTGAAAAAAGCCCTTTTTCTAAATGTTAATATTATATATCAGTTTTTGTTTTTGAGTTTAAAGATTTAAACTAGATCTAATTTCAGGTTTTTCAGGTATTAGAACAAGAAACACAAGCTTATAAAATCATTTTTCTTGAACTACATTTTCCAAATGTAAAGAAAAGGATGAAATAGAATATTTCTATTTTCAGACAAAAAATGAGAACTGCTTTTATCTCTTGTGTAGATTCTACACAAATATAATTAGAAACTTCTAATTTAAGAACAGCTTTTCTTGTAATGACCAGAAAACCAAAGACCCTGAATTCAGCCATAACAACAAAGAGAAGTTTTAACAGTTTATTGGAATGTGAAACTGCCGCAGGTCGGGAGGGATTCACCAGAGTCAGCAACTGGAACTTCTTCTCTGAGTTTGGGGACAAACTTTGAGAGTTTCTGAGGATGCCGTTTGGCGTGTGGCATCACTGATGAACCGCTGAGGATTCCTGAATCCGTCCAGGTTGATTTAGATGAATCCTTCTTTGACAGTTACTCACTGGTCCAGGGGAAAGCAGCGGGTCAGATCTGTGAGAGCAGAAACAGATAGAATAATCAAGGGAACAAGCTAGAGTGTGTAATGCTAGAGCAGGTCCAGAGTCAGAGCCGGATAGGCTGAGATCCAGAGACAATCTGCGGGAGACCGGAGAGTGAGGTCAGGGCACAGAAAACTGGTCAGGGATCTAAAAACCCACTATGACAGGTCTGATAGGGTTCAGAAGAGGCTCCGATAACCATGAGTCAGAATTCGGCAGATGGGTACAGGAATAATCTGGCACTGGTGAGAGCTGGTTATATAGTTCGGTACGCTTACAAATGCTGATTTTTAGATTTTTATAATAGGCTACATATGCCTTAAAATGTATTGATTTTAATGATTGTCTTTTACTCTGTTTTTAATGTTATGGTCTTTTAACCTTTGTTTTAATTTTCCCTTTTTGAACTGTAGCATAGATTTAAATTCAAATATAAAGTGCGTTACAAATAAAATTTATTATTATTACGCACGTGGATCTGATTAAGGCTGATAGGAAACAAGGCGGAGCTCATAGGTGTGTTGAATCCTAAATCAGAGCAGAACTAGTACCAAGAATCATAATATTTTTAACCATTTTTTTATATATTAAATTAATTTACAGGTCTTTATTATTTTTAGGCAGGCTCTGTCCCCAGACCCCTGTGATAGACTAATGTTGAGTATCTGCTCTGTAAATATCCTACAGGACCAGCCAGGGCTGAATGACTGTGACGACCTTCTAGTTTTCAAAGCAATACACACTTTCTGCTGAAAGTTCACTATTAAATTGGATATTTATGCAAAAAAATAAAAAATAAATAACAGATTTTTAACCAAGCTGTAATTCCTTTCCCTAATCACACAATCCAGTTAAAACTTAATAAAAAGTTGTCTAATTCTTAAAGGCTGGATACAGCTGCTCTCTTTTTAAACTGTTTCCTTCTCGATGTTTGTTTGTGACAGGAAAAGAGAGTTGTAAATGACTGGAAACCCAACACGCCTCGTGGCCGGAAGAAATCAGAGGAGAGCGATACTCCTAAAGGTCCCAGCGACGGCCACAGCCCACCCAGGAGGACGGGGTCTGGAAGAGTTGGGCGAGGTGGTCAGAGAGGAGGGCGCCAAGAAAGGAGAGAATGGGAGCCCAGGACCCCCAGAGAGGCAGAGCCTGGTGACTCTGGAGGCCCGGGACGCAGAGGAGGAAGAAGAGGAGGAAGAGGAGGAGGAGGTGGTGGTGGAGGAGGAGGAGGAGGCGGGGGAGGAGGAGAAGGTACGCCAGGTGGAATTGACAGGAAGTCCAAGGTGAGAAAGGATGATCTACTTGCACAAAGTTAGCTTATATCATTTTTCTAGGGATGCACTAATACGAGAAAATATGGGATGAAAAATAATGTTAATTCTATGGCTTATAACTAATAATTACATTTAAGATATTGATCTATTGGTCAATGTAGAGATAACTTGAGATTTTCAATCAAATTATTAAAAGTCACGTTTAAATGAAAAGTCATATGACACTTAATAAACAACCTTTCTATTCAAAAACCTTTTTTAGCATTTAGATGATTGAGCATCACAGTTTTGTTTTTCTTCTAAAAATGTTTCCTTTATTTAACCATCAGATTGGATGAAGGTTATTAGCATGTAGCTTTTATAAACACAAGATAATTTATGCAACTTCTTTTTAAAACTACTTCAATAAAGCATGAACACTCATTATAACGGAATTCCTTCTGTTGAATATGGTGAATAAATAAATAAATATAGCAACAAGGCATTCAGTGTCTTCTTTCTGAGTTTAACTTTTTCTATAAATACAAGTTAAAGCTCTATTTCTAAAACTGACAACAGAACTATTATATTAGAGCTGTACATAAAGTATTGCCTTTCATAGCTCCACCTGTGCTATTAAACAAGCATCATTTACTGCAGTTGGATCATATTTACCTCTGAGATGATTTTTTTTTTCCGCCTCATGCCAGTTACTGAGGAAAACGGCTCATGTTGTAAATCATTTTAGCAGGGAGTTTAGTTTCGTATCTACGGAAGCCGAGAGCGGACATACTCTACTTTTTTTTTCTTTCCTTTGCCTTCTCGAGATAATGACATAATTATCTCATTATCACGAGAAAACAGTTACTGATTTATCAAGATAACGGGATGATTAACCTGTTTGAGTCATGAATGAGGCTGTCCAACAGCCCTGGATTACCAGTCCATCCATGACTGCAGTCGCAGCACCCTGTGTGTGCGCAAATAAAGACTTTTTAGTTTCCTCTTTCTTTTCTCTCATTGTCAGGCCGTGTTGGATGATTCGATTGCATGGAATACCGTAGAAACAAATCTGTTTTTTTTTTTTTTATGAAAATCTTGAATCTGGACTCTTTTTGGGGGTTAATGCATCTTCTACCCTTTTACAGGCGTAGCACTGGGGCTGTTTAGAAAACACCCGGCCATAAGGCACCGGAGGCATAGGTTTTATTTGCATTATGAATCAGAAGTGGTAGCAAATCATCAAACCAACAATGTTGTCTCGTTACATAAAAGTTAAACACGGAATTATTTACAGAATTACACATAGGCTGCCATGATTTATACTTAAAAATCCCCCCGCTGTTGTGGTATTGAAGGATGTAATCAGTTTTAACACACACCAATCATCTCGTTATGATGAGAAAACAACTTTCTAATGAGAAAATGATCATCTTGTAATCAAAAAAAAAAACGGCTTTCGTTGTCTTTAGATAATGAGAAAGTTAACTCGTTTTCTCAAGAAAACCACTGTGAAAATCATAGAGACACAACCGCTCTGGGCTTCCGTACGTATAATTTCTCATTAGCATGATCAATTTCATCATAAGAATTTAGATTTACCGCCAAAATGTTAAATACCAATCAGTTATGTTTTAAAAACTTCAAACCCTCCTAAAACTGACATCTTCATGTAACTGTTGTCCTGAAGACAATTTTAAATTTCATCATTCAAAGACCTATTTTAAATTGGTATGGTTTTCAGCAGCAGTATTTGTGCAGCTATGATTGCTTTGGCATGCAGCCGCAGCCGTACAGAAATACTGTAAAGAAATAATCATTTTTTCATACACATTTTTATTGTTATCATGATGCTACCATCTCCAAATGTTAATATACAGGTTAATTATTGATGCCATACGTTAAATATTTTTACCCATGAGAGTAATTGGTGGCCTAGTGCTAAGGGCAGGGTGTGCAGTGGTGCTGTGCTCTGATCAATTATTTCTCTGCAGTGCAGGGTTCTATAAATCATCTGTTTCCTATCATGGAGCAATACAAAGTACATGTTGGGGCCCATAATCCCCCTGCATTAGGTAACCTACTATGTGCATATCAATAAGGGTTATTTTCAGTTTGTCAGCTAAAGATTGTTCTCAAAAGTGTTCATTCCCCAACTTTTTTTTTAAAGCCCATTTGATATTTAGACTCTGGATTTATTCTCATATTCTTTATTTTTATTTAATCCCTTTACTGGTGCTGGTTTTGCACTGAAACATGTTTAGTGCGAAACTGAATATATCATCTTTATTCTAAGCCAAGTTTACAGAGATATCCATGAATCTATTCAGCCTCCAATCTACGATTCTCCTCTCTGAATAAAAACAATCTGCCAAACGACTGACGTGATGTTTGTTTGTTTTTTTGGACAGGAATGGGAGGAGAAGAGGCGACAGAACATAGAGATGATGAATGAGGAAATGGAGAGGATAGCGGAGTATGAGAGAGGACAGAGGGTACCTGAGCTACTGGGTTCTTTCTCCTGGTTTATGCCGTATTAACTATGTCACAGTTTTCAGTGTTTGGTTTGTGATTTGTCTCTTCAGCCGGATGGAGATAAACCAATCCGTAACTTTTTGGACGACCCCAGGCGTTCTGGTCCCACTCCAGATACGGACCGGAAAGAAGGCAGCAGGAGACACGTACGGAACTGGGGAGGGCTGGACTTTGAAAACGTGAAAACAGGATCTGAACTGGAGAGAGAGTGGACTGTGAGTTTTTTTTTTAATCAATATGTGGGATCAAACAATAAGCATGTCATATATCATAAAGCTTCAATGCTGCTGGTCTGTCCAGAGTCGTCGCCCGGGTCCAAAGGGTGGCTCTATGGACATGACGATGTCGATGACGGGTCGCGAGAGAGCGGAGTACCTTCGCTGGAAGAAAGAGCGTGAGCAGATTGATGATGAGAGATTAGCACGGCACCGTAACGCCACGGGCCAGTGGAGACGGGAGTGGGACGCGCAGAAGACTGAGAACATGTGAGGACGGATTTAATGTCGAGATTTTTTATTGATACACGGCCTTCACCCCACTGCAGGAGGATTACAGGCAGTTTATTTTGCCCTATTCCAAAAAAATAAAAATAATTCCATTTCAGAAAGCATTAAAGTTGCAGGTTTTTTTTGTTTCAAAGGAGATTCATAGACATTTAGTTTAAGATATAAGAATAAAATGATAAAAATTAGAAACTTATTTTATTCTCTGCTTATTTTATTATAAGAGACACATGTATGCAGACTTAAGATGAAAAACACTGCAACATATAAAGCACTGTATTAAAACTTTTACAATTCCCTTTTTTAAAGCCATTGAGATCTACAGCAAATCATTAAAAAACATGATGGTTTCAACATTTTAATTTCTCTTCAAGATGAAAAGAATGTTTTAAATTAAATTGAATTTTCAGTACAGGAAAAAAAAAATGTTAAATTGTATTTGCTCCTTCAATCTATAATTTAATTTGGCTGATGTTAGATAGAATATTTTTCCATCCAATCGTTTCTAAATGGGGTTTAGCTCATTTGTAGATGTCGTCAGTTTACCAAGAAAAAAGAAATATAGTTTTTTTCTGATTGCAGGTCTATAATTGTTTTATTTTTCTGTTTGTTCCCAAAAGGATTCCACCCATAGTCCTTTGATTATGTTAGTAGAAATTAACTTTTTTTTTTTCTTCATACTATTAGCTGTCACTTATGCTTACGTTCACACCTAAAGCAGCAGAAGCAGCTAGTTTACATAGAAAGTCAATGGTTGACGCACATCAAGGCGCATCAATAGGTCCTGCAGCGCGTTTTGAGCAGCCGAAGCAGCGCCTAAGGAGCATCTGACGCACGGGACACTCTGTGAAAGCAGCGGCTGCTAGAGTTGAAAAAATTGAACTTTGCTGCTCGACGCGCCACGCCAACTAATCAGAGAAGCTAATCTGGGAGCTGACAGGGAGACAGACACTGGTGATCCAAATCACCATGATCACTCCTCTGAAACAGTTTATTAAGACCTAAATTAACTTAAAATGCCAAAATCTACCAGCAAAACATTATCCTTTATTATCCTAACATCTACTAGCGACCATGAACAGCAGCGGCAAACTGAAGAGGCGACCGGGCCAGAGGCTGCTGTTTAACGGGATTCCTAGTGACAGAGCAACGCCGGTGTAGGGGAGTCTAAACGTCTCTGAACAGCAAATTAATATTTGAAGGCAGAATCATAATCTGGATGAACTGACTGCACAGATAAAGTTTTCAGGTGGACTTTTTGACTTAAAAACATTAAAACTACTTTTTACCCACTGTGTTTACCCACAACAAATATAGCTGCCATTGTAACAGGCAAAAAAAGGAAAGGGTAGCTCCGCCCAACACGCATCAGACCCACTTTCCACTGAGGAGCTAAAGCATCAAAGCTTCTTCAGCCACGTGTCAGAACTTAACTTGTACAAGCATAAAAAAAATGAAGAAGCACACCTGTTTTTGCTGCTCCTGCTGCATGCGGTGTGAAGGTAGCATTAGTGTTCTATGCTCAGCAGCCGTTGTTTTCCCCTTATAAAGACTAATTTTACAGCAAGTAAGGCAGGGCAGGGCAAATTTATTTGTATAGCACAATTCAGTACAAAGACAATGCAAAGTGCTTTACATGATTAAAATACAGGGAAATAAAACAGAATCAAAGCAAGTTGTGAAAAAAATGCAGAGACAAAAAAGAATATTAAAAAAGACTAAAGAAAATAAAAAAGTTGAACTAATGATGTTTCAGTTGAACTGTTTAACTAGAACAGTCGAAGGCAATCCTAAACAAATGTGTTTTTAGTCTTGATTTAAAGGAACTCAGGCTTTCTGCACTTTTACAATTTTTCTGGAAGTTTGTTCCAGATAAGTGGAGCATAGGAACTAAATGCTGCTTCTCCATGCTTAGTTCTGGTTCTAGGTATGCAGAGCAGGCTGGAGCCAGAAGACCTGAGTGGTCTGGAGGGTTGATAAACTGATAGCAAGTCTGTGATGTATTTAGGTGCTAAGCCATTCAGAGATTTATAGACTAACAGAAGTATTTTAAAGTCTATTCTCTGACATACAGTGAGCCAGTGTAAGGACTTTAGAACTGGGGTGATGTGCTCTACTTTTTTAGTCTTAGTGAGGACATGGGCAGCAGCGTTCTGGATCAGCTGCAGCTGTCTTATCCCCTTTTTAGGCAGACCCGTGAAAACACAGTTGCAGTAATCAATTCGACTAAAAATAAATGCATGGATTCGTTTTTCCAGATCATGCTGAGACATTAGTCCTTTGATCCTGGAAATGTTCTTCAGGTGATAGAAAGCTGACCTTGTAATTGTCTTTAAAGTAGTATAAGAAAGAATTATGATCACACAATGCAGTTCTGAAAACTCATATCTATGACTATAATTGAAATCAAACATCTATTAATTGATCAATCTAATTGATCATCCATTAATTGATCAATCTAACAAAAAATCCTTACACTTTTCAAAAAGAAAACAGCTGGGAAGCACCACAGAGCCTAATGGTAGATCAAATGCACCATTTGCAGGAGCGACACCCTAAGGCTGTTGTCTCATCAGGCCCTCTGCCGCATGTCTTCCCTTCTTACTGTGTATATTGTAATGATTACAGGCCATGAATATTTAGAAGCTCGAAAAATTAAGAGAATTCAATGCAATTTATTTCTATAGCGCCAATTCACAACACATGTCATCTCAAGGCACTTTACAGTTCACCAGATCATACAGTCAAATTGATTCAAAGTTTTCTATCTAAGGAAAACCAGTTGATTGCAACGACTCATTGACTTGAAGGCAATCCCTCACACTAAGCATGCTTGTAGCGACAGTGGAGAGGAAAAGTTCCCTTTTAACAGGAAGAAACCTCCAGCAGAACAAGGCTCAGTGTGAGCGGCCATCTGCCGAGGCCGACTGGGGTTCAAGGAGACAGAAGCAGAGATGGAGAAAGATGCAGAGATACAAAAGGCAACTTTTAACCAACTCCACAGCGGGCTCCATCCAGGAAACACACAGCCAGACAGACGAGGTCCCAGCCAGCCCCCACATCAGAGCACACCCTGCCAGTCACTGTCAGAGAAACAGGACTACACTGAAAAACAGGCCGAGCTCAATCATCTGTAAACAAAAGTGTTGAAGCTGATATTTATCTTCAGGATTGTGTCCCAACGAAACAGGTGCATACCAGATTAAGCTACTATAAGAAAAAGCAGAGAGAGCAGAATGTTAAAGATTGAACAGATTTTGCTGTGGGAAAATATAGACAGAATGAAGCAGAATGATGAAAAAAGGGTCCCTATGTCCTCCAGCAGTCTAAGCCTATAGCAGCATAACTATAGAGATAGCTCAGGATAACCTGAGCCACTCTAACTATAAGCTTTATCAAAAAGGAAAATTTTAAGCCTAGCCTTAGAGTAGACGGGGTGTCTGCCTCACAGACTAAAACTGTAAGTTGGTTTTACAGGAGAGGAGCCTGATACCTAAAAGATCTGCCTCCCATTTTACTAGAAGTTCTAGGAACCACTAGTAAACCTACAGATTGAGAGTAAAGTAGGTAGGTCATGGTAAAAGGAACAGCTCCTTTAGGGTCTACCTTATGTGTCATAGATCAGAAAAAGTTTATTGAATCTGTCAAGGCATGTTTTCGGTTCTGGGAATGATGGCAGTGGATCTGCTGATTAGCAAGTAATTCAAGTAAAAACATTTGAAAACCACCAATGCGTCCAAAGCTTGAGTCACATTTTAGGAGGTCATAAACATAATCAAAGAGTATGGTTGTGAAGAGTGTGGAGGCCTTGCCATGTCATCATACTGTTATCATTTGATCTATTCTCCCTTAAAGAAAAAGGTTTTTAGTTGATGTTCAAAAGAAATGCAAATATATTTCTATTAAAGTTTGTTTTTCTCCTCTTATGGCTTTGTTAAAAGGTTTAAGGAGGATCAATACGTGGCTGCAGAGGGCGTAACAAGTGAGGAGGGTGGCAGAAGAGGCAAGTTAACATCTTTCCACACACAGGCTGCTGCCTTTGTTCTGACCCTCAGTCTACTTCCATCCGTTTGCTCTACAGCTTCATGTCCTCACATACACACTTCATAACAACTTGACACAACAGAAAACATCATGTCCTTCCTCCGGCTAATTAAGCTGTTTATATAAACCACTGCTGTATTTCCCCAGAGTCCAAATTAGCCTCTGCATTAAGCTTCAGTCGTTTTATAATCAGGGGCTTTTATAAATCTGTCCTCTGTGTCTGATGAAGAGTGACATTCATCATTTAAACTGCTTCAAAAACATCTTCTCCTTTTCATTATTTTTCAGATAAAAAAAAAAAAATATTTAAATTCATTAAAGTCATGGTAAAAAGAAGATAGACAGTTTTCCCTCAAAATATGACGAGGAGGATTTTTTTAACATTTCCATTTTATCTAAAGGAGATTCTATATGATAATGGAAATGCTACGTGTATCCCACTAATCAACAGCCTGCAGAAGACTGTTGACAGTAATTTCTGTAAAGCTATTTGTTTCTGCTTTCAAGAATTCTCTCCACTCTTCTTTCTTGTAATAGATCACCCGAAACACTTTAATTAAAAATGTCCAATGTATCTGTATTAAATGACTATAAAACATGATGGCAGGTTGAACAGAATAAAATTTTACTCTGACAGAGAAATGACTCAGAATACAATGGCAGCGCTTGCCATCCGGCTTTCATCATTCAAAGAGCCCGAATAACAGTTTAAAGAAGCTTTTTATATCTGCTGTCACACACGTCGCATCATTACATCATACATGTCGTTAGTAAATGAGGAGACATCACTGGATCCTTGGCCTGATAAACCAGACTAAATGTGAGATTAAATGTGTAATTTAGTCTGGCCCCGATGAATGAGACATCGGAAGATTGTTGATGAAAACAACCCGTTGTTTTTCAAACCATGACTGTGCCTATTGGCCAATGCACTGACCAATGAGCGCAACTGACTGTGACGTAGGACACGTGACAGAAAGCTGTTGGGGCAGTGTAAACAAACAGCCTGTCTGTAAAACAGCGAATGTGTCCTTCTTAAAAATGAATGAGCGTAGAGCCAACCTTTTTACAGTTGAGGGCTAATTCAGGGGCACTGAGTCACAGGAAGGGCTACCAATACTGACCTATGAATTGCAAGGGTCAATGTTCACCTAAACTTCATACATCATAAACATACCTTTATCGTTTCTTTAAATTTATAATTTTCTTTTAGACATTTTCATTTTGAAATCTCTATAAATGCTTAAATGCCATATATGATTAAATGATGAAATGTTCTATAACTGATTAAAAAAAAGAAGAGCAACAGAATACAATGAAATTTCAAACGTAGCTCACTGTTGAGTTGTTCTTTTTTCAGAAGACTCTAAGGGCACCCCTTGTGGTCCTTGAGGGCCCCTTGGTGCCCCCTGGGCCCTGGCATAGAGCCTCTTCCTGCTCACGTTTCAATGAAAACCCCAAATCTAATCCTCCCAAAACTGATTGCAAAACTGAGTCAAAAATCACCATCAGAGCCAGCGGTCCTTCACACACGACTATGCTGAGAGAGGCAGACGGGCTGCGGTTAGCCCTGGATGCCGTTAGCCTCGAAGGTCCGCTGGTTGCTGCAGTCCTCTCAACTTTGGAAATTCTTTTAAATTGCGCATTAAATGGGTTATTGGACCATATAGTGACGCTTTAAAGTATAATATTCTCGCCACAGTGCATGCCACTGTTCAATAGTTGTTGCCATCTTCCTTCTTGTGCTTTCTCCAGCGTCGTGCAGCTTTGTTGTCACGCCCTCAAAACCCCGCCCGCTTTGCATCCAAAAATTATACACACACCTCTGTGTTGTGAAGCTAGACCACTCAAAGGCAAAAATGATTTTGGCCACTGGTGGGTGGGGCAAGTTTACTAGGGTACCCCGTACCTGCTCCCAAGAGGGAAGGTCTATTAAATGTGTGCCAGAGCATGCATGAGCCTATTTCAATCACTATATAGAGAGGGTACTATATAGTGGACTTTAAAGTGAACTCAGTTATTTGACCGTTCGGTCAGATGATCAGTGCTTTTTGCTCCCCGTTGGTTACGTAACTCCTCCTCCACTGTGCGGTGCCTGTGCCATCTTCGTTATTAGTCGTCACTGTTGGGTAGCAACAGCTAATGGCGACAGTGGCAGCAAATCCCATAATGCTTTGCGAGGAAAGCTCTAAGCATTCTGGGATATATCTGCCTCTTCTGAGGCCTTTGTTTTCTTCTCATACACTTCGTAGACCCTTGGCCATTTTCAAAGAACCGTGGAGAGAAATGCAAGCTCCAATGGCTGTCTGAAACCGTAGCTCGCCACACATGTATTCCTGAAAGTGCGCATGCGCAAAAAAAGATAGCTAACCATGGACGAGCACGTAGGATGGCCTTATGTAAACATATCACCAGAATGATTGACACTTAAGAGGACCACTTATTTAGATGACCCACCCGGAAATAAAAGATTGTCCTCTATACCTTGAATTAACTGCTTGGGAAATCATTAGACTTAATATGTGAAAGGTAGGTAATAATAGGTTTAATTAGTACAAACATGAATTATAGAAAATGATTCTGACAGCTGTTCGTCAAGTGCCGAGGTCTGGATTTTGACTATGCTGTTGTGTCACCTTGATTATTTCTCAGATTTGTGGTTGTATATTGGTTGGAGGGTTTCAGCAGCTTCAGCTGCTCCAACAGAATGACCTTTATGAAATATTTGATATGATATATTTATGATATCAATAAAATGAGAGCCTCAAGACAGACTGCACAAAAAAGATGTCAACAGAATCCAGTATGACATTTATTTGATCATTTTTATAAAAGCCCTGTAACGTAACATTCAAGAAATATTTGCTGTAGAAAAATATTTTAAAAAACTCACAAAAACTACATCCAACTATAAAGGTCAGTCGGTGACCAGTGCTGTAATCATTATGATGTTTATAGAAATATAGGAAATGTGTTTTTATTATTGTCCAACCCTGCTTGGATTTCCATCACAGCTCCATAGTATAAATCATCAAAGATGATGGTGCGTTATACTCAGGTCATCCTTTTTCATTCTGTTTAGAAAGCTGAACCCTTCTAAAAAAAAAAAAAACATTTCCTTGTATTTCTTTATTTTTCTCCTGAAGGTCCGGTCATAAAACTAAAAATTAAACATGCTAAAAATTTAAGTCTACTGAGTCTCACCTGTAACTCATTGTTTTGATTTTTTTTTTTTTTTTTTGGTAGCGGATGCTTTAATTTGTGAGTAATCTTTATCTCTGTGTAGAAGTAGTTTGACACTAGAATGAAAACACTTCCTGGATTACTAAAAGGCAGCGGTCACTTCTCTAAGGTCGTTGCTGATGCCTTTTCATCCAGACATCGTCACGCTTATAAACTGCCAAAACTTAAACCTTTATAGAGGCAGAAAGCGTTAAGCGAAACGGATAGGAGTTAATTAATCGCTTGCTTTGATTAGCAGAAACCCGGCTAACTCTGATTTTGCTCCATTATTTTTTGTCACTAATATTAGGCATTAAATTGGCTTGGATTTTTTATTTTTTTGATTTGGATTTTTAGAATTCTATAAAGAAGAGATTGTTTATGCAATCATACCACGACCAAACCCTTTTATTATATCTCTGAAGGCAAACCTAAAGTTTGCTTTTAGTTAAAGGAACCAAAGCCTTTTCGTTGAATGTTGATGTTTCCACTCGTCTTTCCACCATCAAATAAAAGGATCACTGTATTTCATGGACGGTGTGTCTTTCCGCAGTGAGGGAGCGTAAACCGCATACAGGGCATCGGGGAAGAACCTCAGGTCAGACTAAAGCATGGCGCTGAGATCTAGTTGTTTGTTTGTTTCTGTCAAATCTCACCTCTTTAGGTTCACAGTCCTGGATAACCCGCTTGATGATTCAGCTCCTTAAGCTGAAATCAAGACAGCAAAATGAAACTTGTTTTGACAGGTTGTTTCCCAGATTTATTTCTAACTATACCATCAATAATGGAGCAGACTACACAGTTTGGATCAAAGATCAAAGAAGGACTTGTTCTTTTTTTCTTTGTAGCTTATAGCTCATAAAACTGCCTTTAAATCAAACTCTGATCTCGGCTTCACACTGACTGTTCAGTGTCGTCTCTGTGATTTGTTGCAAAGTGTGGCATGCCGTAACCCACACTAGATGTAAAATCTGTTTGTGCAGATCGTACTTGTTTTTCTTCTTTCATATTTTTTAATCAGTAACAAATTTTACCCATTTTAAAGCATGCCTAAACGTGTGTGTGTTTTTTGCACTGGTTTATGAGCAGGTTTAGGACCTTTTCAGGTAATCTTCTCTATAGCAATGGGCCTTATGGGGACAAAAGTCATGTCCCTAATACAAAAAGCCCCAATTTTAGTTTAGGGACAGTGTGATGTGAGCTTGTTAAGATGTAAGTTTTGGTTAAGATTGGGGTCTGGATTACACTTAGAATAGAAAATAAAATAGAAAGTCGCTTAATTGTCCCACAATTTGGAAATTGTGGTGTTACAGCGGCAAAAGATTATAGTAAAAGTGATCACACAAATGTAGACCGTAGAAACTATAAGAAATAACAGAATAAGTGAGCCAAAAAAATTATTTTACAACATAAAAACTGTGCACCTGGAGAATAAATAACCAATATACAGTAATGGATATGTGAAAAATAGCAACGGCAGAGATCTGCAAAAATGACAGCAGCATGTTATGTTCAGTGACTAAGACAGAAAACTGTGCAATATCAACATAAATGTAAGACATTATTGAGGTTGCTTGGCTGCCTGGAGGAATGATCTGTGATAACGCTCCCTGGTGCATTTAAGGTGCAGCAGTCTGTCACTGAAGGAGATCTCCAGTTCTGCAACAGCTTCATGCATGGGGTGGGAGACATTATCCAACAGATATTTTAATGTAGTTAGGATCCTTTTGTCTCCCACCTCCTGCACTGAATCCAGAGGGCATACAATCACAGAGCTAGCCTTCCTGATCAGCTTATCCAGCTGCTTCCTCTCAGCTACAGATAAACCAGCGCTACAACAGACAGCTCCATAGAAGATGGCTGATGCCACAACAGAGTCATAGAAGGAAAAGCAGACTCTTGACTTGACCCTGACTCGTTAAGGGTTGCTAAAATGTTTGGAAATAAATCTAAAGTCATTCTATATTTGTAGAAACAAGAAAGAGGAGTTTTATTAACATTTTTAATTTCCGGAATGAGACGAGTATTCTCCCTTTAGGCTGCTCTGATCTTCCTCCCTTCTATTATTGTCCCTCCTGATCCTTTCGTCTCTTATGACCTCATCCCTGTTGACCTTCTCCCCTCATTGCATCATCTCCTCTTTTCTTATTTCCAACCTTTTCACTCTTCTTTACTCCCTCTCATCCATGGTATCTCTTAACTTTTTCACCAAAATTCCAGATTGTTTATGCTGCCTTACTCCATCTTTAGTGCCCCCACCGTCGCACAACATAGATGTGGTAGACAAAGCGAAATACAAAGTCTCATAAATGCTTTATGAATGCTATTTAAAAAGATGGGTCGCTTTATAAATCTTTTTCTTTAAAGTCAACTCACATAAAACATGAAACCATGAAACACCCTCTGGTGAGCTTCTTTCATTTACCTACTACACAATCACTTCTGCTTTTGCTTTTTCAGTAAAAAAAATAGCTTAATTCAACTTGGAAAAGTCTTTCATAAAAAATTTCTATTATTTCAATTATTATTGTTAAGTATTATAGATAATCATTATTTCAAACTGTTATGTCAGGTCTGGGAGGAGACAGAAACCTTCTTGATGTAAAAAGTTAGTTCAGACTTTGGGAGAAAAGTCAGGAAGCATCAGGTATTAATAGAGGTATCATGACACAAGCACAAATACTTTGTTACTTTACTTAAGTACAATTTTAGGTATCTATGCTTTACTCCATTACTTATTTTTCCTCCTACTTCTGACTTCTACTCATTACATTTTCACTCAAGTATCTGTACTTTCTATTCCTTATTCCTTGGCCCTATCTCAAAGAATTTTTCGAAATAGTCAAAAATTGAGCTTTCAATTCATATGGTGGCATCTGGCTGTTTTTTTTTTTTTTTTAAGGTTACTTTTATACTTTAAGTAGTTTTTGGAGCACATACTTTTTCACTTTTACTTGAGTAACGAGGTCAGGTTGATACAACTTTTACCAGAGTGTTTTTAAACTGCAGTATCTATACTTCTACTAAAGTAACAAATGTGTGTATTTTTAACACCACTGAGTTTTAATGAGCATTGGAGTAGCATCTCCACAGTAAAGCCTGCTTTAAAACAACATATTATTTACCTTCTCACCTTCAACCCCTGTCTAAATCTGCAGCTGTCCACATGGATGAGCCCTGCTTCTGGAGAAAAGTTTTTTGTTTAGAGAGATGATGATGATTCAGCAGTTTGAACAAAATAAGAAGAATGTTAGGAAGATTTAAGATGGAGCTTCAAATCAAAGAAAACTTTATTTCATATGTAGTTCAGTCTTATCTTTCTTCTTCATACCTTAGATCATCATTTACAGTTTTGGCTCAAAAAACTTTGAAAATTTTTTGTCTTTAAATACAGATGAGCGTCTTTGCTTTCTGTTTTAGTAGCGGTTGGCCCAGAATGATTCGGCATGCTGCTTTTAAAGTCTCTGTTTTATAATTTATGATTGTTCTAACATCTCTGATTTATCTTATTTTTAACATGGGTTTGGGCAAACTTTATCTCTATAATAAAGCATGATTATGTTTAACTTGCTTTAACATCAATATCTCCAACAGACGACAGTAAGCGGCCTCCTAGAGCGCCAACATTTGGAGACTTTCTGTCCCAGGGCAGGAACCAGGCGCCCCGTGGAGACCGAAGCAGAGGGAGGGGCCGAGGACCGAGACAGAGTTACAGGTGAGAACCTAGAAAAGAGTTTAAAAGCATCTTTCTTTTAAGCCCACATTACCATAAATTATTGTTATTACTTTATTTAGCCTTCATTTAATTCTGAACAGGCTAACTACCTCAGAAGGTCCAGTTTTTGTTCTAAAGTATTTAATCACCTTGGGCCTCATGTAGAAAAGGGTATGAATGCATATCAGTATGAACACCAAAAATATCCCCTCCACATGTTTATATAACCTTTGGTATGGTGCTGTCAAGCCATCACACAAAATTTGTCAATACACCCCAACGATATTCGTTACACTCAACAGAAACTTTTAGACTAGATAGATAAAGCCCCTGAAAGCAAAGTCTGTCAGCATTTATGACTTAGGGTTTTTTTTGTTACTGACCTGAGCTCACAGTCACTACTCTGAATGTGCATTCAGACTGATGTGCAATATGACAATAACCTGTCTGAAGTCTGACAAACTCTGCTCCACCACATTGGCTCTCGCTTCACTCCTTTTCTTCTCGCTTGAAAGTGTTTCTGCGCTCGCTCGGCTCCATCTCTGCGCTTACGACCTGCTAGCTGTATGGAAACGAACCACTCCATCCAGCCAATCAAAGAGATGCAAGTAATTCTTGCTAATACTGCATTGGGATGTATAAAAGCAACCAATTACAACCAGTAGTAGATTAAGAAGAAAAATGGCGTTAATAAAATAATGTTCATAAAATGATTCCAAAAAATAATCCACTGGACTTTGTTTCCAAGTTTTAAACTTGTTTCAAACTTTTTTGGAATGACTATGGCCCGGATGATTGAGAATCTTCACCAGCATGTTAATAGAATAAACACGTAAATATTAAATGTAAATGCAGTTTTATATCTATTCAGGCTATGAGTTATATAGCTGAGAAACAGGACAGTCATGTCCCATACGGCTTGCAGAGAGCTGTTAACCAGGGTTCCCGCGGGTCCTTAAAAAGTCTTAAAAGGCATTGAATTCTTCAAAATAAAACTAAGGCCTTAAATGGTATTAAAATGTCTTAAATCAGTCTTTCGTAGGTCTTAATTTTTTCAAACATCATAAATAGGATAATTTTTATCTTTGTAATCTAAATAAAATGTTAAAATTGACAATTATTTTTTTATTTAAAAAATAATAACGGCTCGCCATTATTGGTTCCGTCCCGGTAGCGAAATAATAAAAGCGTTGTTGCGGCCGGGACATTTGGGAGATGCACCATTAACTTTTTGTCTGGAAAATATGAGCAAGTGTAAATGTAACCAAAATTGTCTCCAGCCAAGAGTTTTCTCCATGGCTAAAACCAGGGAATTATACATGAGGCTCAGTGGATTTTGAGCAAGAAGCGATTTAAGCTCGGAACGATGGGAATTAAGGCAGTGGAGTCGCACATGCAAAGCACGAAAAACAAAGCATCAAAATGGAGTTACCGAGAAACAGCCGGTATTTCTCAGTTTTGTTCCACCCTTTTCTCTGCAACGCCTCCACTTATCACCAAATCAAACATACTAAGAAAACGATACAAAGAAAAATGGCTGCAAAAAAGACTTAGCACTGGTTATGTTGTGGCTTTCAAACTGATTTGTTTTGTTCCCTGCTAAAACAAAGTTTGTGAATTCAGTTACATAATTGTTAAAATATATCTGTCATTTGTGTGTTTTTAGTTTTCTTCCTGTATGGGAAGCTTTTAAAAATTTGAAACATAAGTGCAGTGTTAAAATAAACCTTTGGGTTAAGTTGTCGCAAGCAGGTTTTTCGGAATTTGGTCTTAAATTTTTATTTATAGTGGCATTAAAAAGTCTTAAAGTCTTGAATTTAACTTGCCTTATGCTGTAGGAACTCTGTTAGCGTATGGATTTTAAATACCCTACCTGTCAAACACTCCGGTTGCAAGGAAAGCAGTTAGAAGTTTAACCGGCACTGATGAAACCGCCTTGGTTTCCCTTAGTGACATTACTCAGCTTAAACCAACTAGTACGCCTAAGATCATCATCATGTCCCATCAGAGAGCTCTGAACGTTCTCTTCCTTCTTCCTCTAGCAGAGCCAAGGCTGCCATCCTTCCACTTTTTCCATACGGCTCTTGATGAATGTGTGATTGTCTACAGCTTGTCCCTCTGATCAATCACCACACATCACTAGTTAAGAGATAATCTGCTGATCTGCCAACACTTTCCTTTCCGTTATAATTAAAAATGCAACTTTTAGGTTGATTGATCTTATAATCTAATGCTTCATTGATAAGCAGCCATTGTCTTAGAAATCAGTTTCCTCCTGTATGAGGAAGATCTTTCATGACGTGAGGGGTTTTATATATCTGCTGACTTAAAACTTAAAAAAATTAAGAAAAAAAAGTATGTCATTATATTTCAACAATTTGTAGTCATATTGTAGTTATTAAATATGGACTAAATAAACAAAACAAATGTATTGAACATTATAAAATGAAGAAAAAATATGTGAAACAATTCTGGTTTCCAATGTCCAGAGATGCAGAATTATCATTAACAGACAGGTATGTGGCTCTGACATACTGTCAGATTAATTATTGCTTTCTTTCCGTTATGTGGATGCCAACTGGGATTTAGCTGTTTTTTATTGTAATCCAGCATTCATGTTGGGAGGGACTTTCTACTTTTAAACAGGTGGTTCTGGTTGATATCAGAAGAATGCTGAAACTTGGCTCTATGAAGTGCCTTAATACTTCATTCTACTAGTACTGTGCCAGCATGTCTTTTGTTTTTTGCCAGAATGTCAGGACGACAGAGGCGTCGGGTGTAGGAGTTTGCCTTTAAATTGAAGGGTTGACGGTTCAAGCCCCGGCTCCGGCTTTCAGTGGAATTGTGGGCAAGACCACTCCACCTGCACTGCCTCCTGATGGTGGTCAGAGGGCCCGGTGGCGCCGGTGTACTGTATGGCAGCCTCGCTTCTGTTAGTGAGCCCCAGGGCAGCTGTGTGAATGATTGAATTCGGTGTAAAGCTTTGAAGTCTCCTGACTTGAAAAAGCGCTGTATAAGTACATTTTCATCATGTGAGAAGCATTTTATGTAATGCCCTCCACATCTTCAAATCCTCACTTTCCAAACAGAGCAGAGAAGTTGGTGCTGCTCCGCCATGATGCACGGCTAAGTGGGTGCTATTTAGGTGATATTTAAGGACTTTATTAAGTGTTCATATTTAGAAAAAGAACTGCATAAATTTAATTTTGCATCTTTTCAGCCTTTAACTTCAGTAAATATTTCCAGACTCTCGCATTACTTCTCTTACGAATACCAGTGATGCTCTGCTTAGGAAACAACAGTGGCACACTGACCCTATCTGTTAATAGGATGGAACAAATTACTCAACAATTAATCATCAGTGTGTTTTTTGTTTACATCCCCATTTATAATTAAAGCCGACCCTTGAGAATACATTGCCACTTGTTGACACAGCCTGATGCTCATTCACAGACTAAAACAGAGTAATAGTTACATCTAGATTTAGTTCTTGAAGTTATTTTTGGAGGTGTGATACATTAATGTTTGGAGCGAAATGTGATTAAGTTTGATTGCTGACGTTTGATTCGCATAAAACCGTAAATCGAGAAACAGACAAGTTGGCAGCTGAGCGCAGCATAAATTTAAAGGGAAGCACAAGAGCATTGGTCTTTAAACAGATGAGATCAAAGCAGCGATGGCAATGATTCATAGCTTCTGAGTAAAAAACTAACGCAGCTTATTGACAAAAACGGCTTCACTGTTGAGTACGATGGTGGAGAAGTGATTGCTGCAAAGCCATAAATCTTTAGTTTACTCCGTCAGGAACAGCTCCCATACAGAATATTGTTTAAAGGTTTAGTCTTTTCCAGACGTTCTGTTAACTTTGATGTTGAACTTTTTGTTAATAGCATGCATGATAACCGCTGGGAGGGAGAGAGAGAAGAAGAAGAGAAGGAAAAAGAGGACAAGACAAAGAGGGAGGTGAAACCTACCCAGAAGAAAGTTAAGAAAGAGGAAGAAGAGGAAAAATCCAAGCTGAAAACGGAGGGAAAGAAGGTAAGGAGGGTTTAATGTGTCAGACCTGCTGAGGTTAGTCTTTAAAGGTTTTGCTTCCTTAAAACTTTCCAAATAGTTTCTATCTAATTCATTCCTTTTGTTATTGTTTATTTTCGTCAGGTGGAGGAGAAGAATGACGGCGAGCCGGGAGATGATGAGGATGAATGGGAGGATGCCAGTGATGAAGATGAAGTCGGAGATGAAAGCGACTCTGAACAGGAGTCCAGAGGGGGCGAGAAGAGAGACAAAAATAAAGAAAGCCCCCCCACCTCTGCCAAGCAACATTTACAGAAAAAATCAGCAGCAGGCCCCAAGGAGCAGCGGACCCCGAGGCCGAAGGTCCAAATCCCCCCTCCAGCGGCTCCTCTGGAGCCGGCAGACAGAGGAAAACCCCTCAGCCCAATATTCCTGCTGGAAGCACACAAACCTGTTCGAGACTGGGGGGAGGAGATGGAGATGCAGTCACCCAGGAGCAGCATGGGAGAGGGGAGCCCGCTGAAGCCCTCCAGCACCGAGTCCTGTCCTCCTCAGAAGAAGAACCAGGAGGAGGAGGAGAGCCCAGCTGGTGGCTCCAGTGGACCCAGAGAGCCACAGGAGGAGCAGACGGGTGGAGAAGCCATAGATGTATCGTCTCCTTCAGTAAACCTCCAGGAGACCGTCACGGTATCAGAGCCAGAAACGGTCACCTCAGAACCCCCTGCCGCACCACCCGCCTCTGATCCCGTCCCGTCTGAAGACTCCGACCCTGCGACCTGCTCTGAAGTCGATGGAGCTGCTGCACCAGCTGACCAGGCTCCATGTGCTGCTCCAAGAGAAGGTACAACAACAGCCGGTCTCTACGGTCCCGACCCCACATAAAGGATATTAAATGTCTTCCTCCAGTCATCAGGACTGAAGCCTCTTTCAGACCCGGTTCTGTCATGTTTCCTGTCTGATGCAATCGCCTGTATGGACCGGTTATATGTCAGATAATATTTTCACGGACCACCCTTTAAAGTGTGTGGGTAAATACAATCAGATAAAATGATACGACTGGCTTAAAATCAAATACAAACAGCATAAAAATAAATGAATTAGTGGGAGCCCTGAGCTTGTTTCTCCGAAACAAACCGGTCCCATCTAAGCGTAATCGGAGACAATGACACATTAAATGTGCTCCTGATGTCCAGTCTGCTCCGTAGCTTTGTTTTGGACGCTGTAACCGCAGAAAATCCCGCTTCACAAAGATAGGATGAGTCTTGACCTGAATTAACCCGTGTCAAGAGGCGCAGATGCACCGACTGCTGTAATTGGGAGATAATGTTTTGTATTTTTCAAAATAAAACACCACTCAGACTCTGATCGTCGATAGATTAGATATATATATATCTATATATATATATATATTTTTTTGTTTTGTGGCCCGGTACCGACGGACCGGTACCGGTCCACAGGCCGGTGGTTGGGGACCGCTGCTGTACACGACTCTATGTAGAGCCTTGGCTGAAATAACATGGATTCCTACAATTCCTACAATCAAGTATTCAAAATAATAACAATCATTGAAAAAAACTAACTTGGCTATATTTGAATTTAATGATGTTATTTTATTTTATATTTTTTTCAGGAAAATATGTTTCGCTGAAAGGCTTAATGAGCTACAAGCAAACAACACGTAAATGATGCAAACTCAAAATGCTGAAAAACAAATGCAACAGAAAAACGCTGCCGAAGGAAAACACAGGAATTGGAGAAAATAAACAAGACTACGGCCACATGTTTAAAAAAAGACATGGAGTTGATTTCTTTCTTCCTACTAACTTTCTTCGACACATCCTGTTTGTTGTGTGTTTGCAGCAAATCTCACCAGTTTTGGTACATTAAGCTGCTTCCTGTTCAGAAAAAAATATCCAGTTTATGATTTATTTCAGCCTTCATAAAACAAATCAAATAAATATTATTTCTCAGTAAAAATAGGATATTTTAAGTCAAGGTTTTTAATCGTAGTAGATTCAAATGTATGTGTACTACACATAAATGCTAGGAACAAACTATTAATTATAGGTTCTACTTGTTCTGTTCTAAGATATAAAAATGTTTCTGCTATGATCATTATTACAACTGTTTTTAACCTTTTCTTTGTCTTGCAGAGGAAAAGTCAGACCCTCCTCCATCTGTTGCATCCGCTGAGGCCGAGCAGAGTCCCCCAGAAGTGGCGCCCAGAGAAGACGAAGGGATGGCTGCGGCTGGGAATGATGAAACTCCAACAGCCGAAGCAGAGACGTCTTCAGAGCCGACGGAATCAGGTCTGGATCTCATCACTAACTTCATAGCGTCTCTGATTTCTCCTCTTTTGCATTTTAAAGATGATAAGTTCCATAAATCCATATAAACTCTCCATTACTCAGCCAGTGGGATTTTCTTGAATGCCTAAAACATTAACTAATTTCTCTATTATTTATTGAGTTCATTTTAAATTTCACAGCAGTTGTTTCCAGGTTTGTTCTTGATGCTAAGCTAAACCTTCCTTCATCGGTGCATCAAGAACAACCTTCACATTCTGCTTTCATCATTTTTATTTTTGACCACAAACACTTTTTCCTCCAAATTTTTTATTCCACTCCAAATTGGTTTTTAAGCAGTCCAGTTTGCCTCGGCTAACTGGTTATCTAAAAAGGTAACACCTTTGATTCCATTGGTTTGTGTAGATGATGGTGAAATTAGGCTTTATTTCCTCTGTAAACATGTAAGAAGTGACGCACAGAAGAGCAAACAGACTCTCTCATCTCCTCTTTGCTTCCCTTATGACATTTTTCTGTCTCTGACCTCATAGTTTGCTTATTGTGTTTGATTCAGGAGGTTGGATCTAATAGTTTAAGGGACTGTTGGATAATGATCCATTTTTGTGATATAGGCAGAAGAGATCAGCAGGTTAGTCACAAAATACAGCTAGCTCACTAGCGTGTGACAGGCCCTCAAAAGGTAAAAGTTGCCGTGAACCTTTGAAATTTGCTTCTCTCCTTTGAAGCATTAAAGGGGTCATAGAATGCAAAACCGAGTTTACATTGTCATAGATGAGTAACGATAGTTCAGTGGGTGAAACGGACGTACAGAGAAGTTCAAACCCCATCAACACCTCCTTTCTCTGCAAATCTCACAATTCTAAACGTCCACCATAAAACGGGCGAATCCAAAGAAAGACCTGAGTTGACGTTAACTCAGGGATGTTGCCTTTTTTGGTTCTGGCCTGTACTTTTGTCACTTCCTGAAATTGACATACAGACCAGCCCACTGGTTCACAGCCCAAGAACAATAGAGGTAGATGTAAGACACCAGTTTAGCTGTTTAGCCTACAGTTGGGTTTATTTCTACAGGAATTACAAAACAGGCAGTTTCTCTATTGAAAATGAGCCAGAATCACGGGCATAAATGCAGAGTTCCAGGCTGCACAGAGACAGGGGAAAATTTCTTTCCAAGGATCTGAAGACTAGACAGGAATGGATTATTTTTGTCTGTTAGAAGATCCCTGCAAAGTTTGATGCTCAGCTGTTCATTTGCTCTAAGCATTTTACCGAAGACAGCTTTTAAAATCTTGGACAGTTCAAAGCAGGATTTGCTAAACTTCTTTTACTGAAATGAGGGGCTGTTCTGACCGTAAGGCCATCACAACCGCAAGCTGGAAGTATGATTCTGTCGCTAAGCTTTTTTATAGCAATGCTATAAAAATGCTAGGGCAGGCGGGGGGTAGCACAGGGCCACCGGCGTCCATGCTACTGTCACCGGGTCGCGTTTGGTCGCTCCGTCCCCAGCTGGCTCCCTGCCCCCTTCCACCGGGGTCCCGTACCAGCCCCGGAGCTTACGGCTCGGTTCGAGTGCCCGGTGTGTTCGTGGACGCTGTGGTTTACGTGCTGCACTGTAGTCGACCAAAATCCCGTACGAATTAGAAATTCCCCCCGGACATTTTTTTTCTTTCGATATGAAAAGTAGGACATGTCCAGCAAAAAGGGGACATCAGGTCACCCTACCATATCAACAATTTAAATCTTTCAGTGAGTGATTGCTTGTTGCTATGATGCGTCTTTGCTCAACAGCTTCGCTTGTAAACCAACCAATCAGAGCACAGCTCATCTAAATATTCATGATCATACCATAAAAGGAAGAAAACCTGTCCTTTCATTCTGGGGCTTTTAACCAGGCTTGCATTAGGGCTCATAGAACAGCAAATATGCCATTTTCAGTCCAAACAAATACCCTATATAATAATTCTATGACCGCTTTAACACTGTCAGTTGGATTTCTGAGGTGTTTTTTTCTCCTCCGGTTGAAACGTAAATATGGTTTATCTTGTTTGTCATGTTATGTAATATTTTAGATTTGAACAGCCTGCAAATGGTCTGACACATGTCCCAGTTATGTCCCCTATGGTGCAAAGGATGCTGCATGTGACCTTATGTGTTGACTATAAAGTGCCCGGTTGGTGTTCTTACAGGCATTGAAGGTCAGCCTGTTTGTTTATAAACTATTATTATGAAGATAATTGTGCCTTAATAGCTGAAAAAAAAAATACTCTTGGTCAAATCAGTATGCAACAACAGATGGGTCTAATTCCACATCTTTATGTTTATTTCTGAATGTTTTGACTTGTATGAGTAAAAGAAATGCTATAAACGCATCTTATTTTGAGTAAATAATGTTCACCTTCAGATCTCCTAAAGGCTTTCATTTCATTTTTCTAAAGTCTTTAATAATAATATCTACATGCGTTTGTCTTGTCTTTGTGAGCACTTGAATCCAGAGATCATCATGCTTTCATAACTCATTAGTGTGTCCGTCTGCAGCTTTAGGGGCTCCTGTGGGAAGGGGAATTACTCATTCTCTCCGGGATCAATAATCCACTCACATTTCCTCACCAGCTATCTGATGGTCTGTCGTCTGTACGCTGTGGTTTAAAAGTGAAGCTAAGTGAATAAACCGCAGGCTGCAGTCATTATCCCTCTTTCTAAAGCCATTTAGCTCATGTCATCAGCATCATCACTTAGGCTAATGGAAAAGTTTAAATGTTTGGAGCTTATTTCTTGGCTTTCTTTTAGCACGAAAAATGAAAAAAAGGATCTGACGGACTGACCTGATGCTGGTCAGCAGCTGTGACTCTGAAAGCAAACAAGCCATTACCTGTGTACTGTCAGCTAAAACATGTACTTCCTCCATAATATTTGGTTGTTTTTCTTTGGATTTTATTTTTTTTGGTCCTTTTATAAAATAAGTAACAACAAATAAAGAAGTGGAAGAGATAAAATACAATTTACTTTAACAAAAAATGCAGTTTATTAACACTGAAAAGGGCTAACATAACACATACGGGGTCACAAAGGGGCCAGAATTAACCTTTCCACAAATCAGCTTATGACCAAGACAGTCTCTTTCAAAAAAAGGGTTGCTTGTGGTTCAATGTATAGGCTTAAAGCCTCATTTTGGCATTTTACCAATTAAATGAGGCCTTGAATGATGTATTACCTACTGTAAATTAAGTTGGATAAAAAAGTTAAGACAAGGAAAAATGGTAAAAAGCTAATTGAAAAGTTAAAAGTAAAGTTAAAAAAGTTAATAAGCCTGGTAAACAATTATTTTTAGGTTTATAAACTAAAATTGCCATATTAAATTTTTAAAATAATATTAAAACACATCCAAGCTAATTATAATACAAATGGCTCTTAAAACATATTTCTGGTTCTTTTAATATCATTCTTTTCCATCTTATAAAAAGCACTTATGCTTTTAGTACTGGTATTTATTATAGTAAATTATTTAGCTCCAGAGCCACGAAGCAGGTTGCAGACCCAAACTCGGTCCTCGAGGGCCGCTGTCCTGCAGGTTTCAGAGGTTTCCTTGCTCCAGCACAGCTGATTTTAATTGAAAGCTAATTAACAGGCTTTTGCTCTACTGCAATCATTATAATCAGCTGTTTTAAAGCAGGGAAACCTCTAAAACCTGCAGGACAGCAGCCCTCGAGGACCGAGTTTGGGGATGCCTGCTGTAAGGTGATGATTTACCAAAAAAAAAATATTTTCTTTCACTCTGAGTGTTTTTTAATGAATTTCTTATAGAAGCACTTTTGTTATTTTTCTTAAAATATTCGGGCTAGTTGGCGTTTCTTGTTATGACATTAATTTTTGCCATCAAAATATCCATATTTTTTGAATAATACAAAGGTAATAAGGTCTTGTCCAGGACTCCAATAACACTATTGGCTTAAAATTTTGGTTTTCAAAGTATTTCACTGAGTGCCCTATATAGGGTTAAATGTGTAGTCTTGACTGAAGGAAGTTTAGATTATTTTTAGTCGACTAAATTGTTGTTTATTTCCTGTGGATCCAATGACGAATGCGTCTTGACAAGAAACAAGTGGTGAAATATTCACAGTTGAATAGAACAGGTTAAGTTAAATCTTACTGAACTACAGATTAACTTTTTAAAAACAGCTTTAGATTAAGACTAAGTCTTGTTGTTTTCAGCTGCTGCTTCACTTTTCTCTGCCGAGTCTAAAATAGCTCCTATCTGTTAAGGCAGCAGCTTTTCCAAAAAAGGAGTTGATGTTCTGCTGAAGAATCCAGTCCTCATCAAAGGCTTCATATCTACCAGACCAGATCTGACCCCCACATAACCCGGGTGGTCCGATGCGCCGCAGTGAAAAATACTGTAGCATGAGAGGGAAAGCATTTTAATTGAATACAAATTAGATATTTGTTTCATTTCTTTCAAGCTAGTAATACAATCACTTAATGTATTTATTCATTGCAGCAAGGTTGACCACTTAAATTTATAAATGGCATTAAATTATTTTGAAATCAGAAAGTTAAACGTCTCAACTTGCTTTATTCTTAAGTTCAAAAAGAAAATTTTTTTCCCTTTCATGACACTTTGGTAGAGACGAATAGTTGCGGCCGCCTTTTTTTTTTTTTCCAATGACTCATCTTTATCTGTTTTACTCGCTGGCAACATTTAGGTTTAAGACGTCAGCATTGAAGAAAAAAATATTATTAATCTTAACCCTTTATAGGGCAAGTTAGTGTTTTTGAACACTTGCATACTACAAATGGAATCCCCCCCCCCGTCTCTCAGTGACGTCTAGAAGCACAAGATCTATATCCATCTATTCAGCAAAGACGCTGCTACATGGCTCTACATCTCATTTTGGCATTTGACTAATTAGAAGAGCCCTTGAACGATATATTACCTACTGTAGATCAAGTTGGAAAAAAAGTTAACAAGTCAAGAAAAAAAAGCTAATTGAAAACTTTAAAAAGTA